CTGCGCTGTACCCGGCACTGTTGCCGCTACCGCTACTGCTACTGTACCTGGTGCCGCTCTCACAGCCGTCCCCGGTGCTGGTGCCGTGCCTACGACTGTTGCTGCTGCACCACCCGCTACCACAGCCGTCGGTGCTGGCGGTTCTGTCGTCCAGCTTCTCACCGATAACCTTAACTGCGGCAGGCTCCTCAACGTCTGTCTCTTCGGCCAGGTGTGTCGTGAAGGCCAGTGTGTCTCGGCCGCTCAGCCTACGACAGCTGCTACCGCCCCAGCGACGACGACGATTGCCGTCCAGGTCACGACCACGGCTGCTGGAGGTCAGTTGACCACGGTCCAGGTTCCCACGACCGTCGTCGCCGCGGCACCAACAACAGCTGTTGGTGCAGGTGCCGCTGTTGGTATCGTCGACCTTCTCAATGACAGCCTTAACTGCGGTCGCCTCTTCAACATTTGCATCCTCGGCCAGACTTGTCGCAACGGTGTCTGCGTTGCTTCTGGCGCTGCTGTTCCGACTACCACGGCTGGCATCACCGCGCCTACAACAACTACTCGTGCCACAACTACGGCTCCTGTCGTCGGTACCACGACTACTGGTGCTGCTGCTGCTCCCACGACCACGGCGGGTGGTGCCTTTGGTGTCGTTGATTTGCTCAATGACTCGTTGAACTGTGGTAGACTTCTCAACATCTGTCTCTTCGGCCAAGTTTGCCGCAGTGGTGTCTGCGTTGCTGCTGGTGCCGCCGTGCCCACGACCACTGCGCCAGCGACGACTGTGCCAACAACGACTCTGGCTGCTACCACAGCCGTCGTCACAACGACCCTCCTTACCGCGACGCGCGCCGCTACGACTACCACTGTTGCTGGCGTCCCTACAACCATTGCGGCGGCGCCGACCACCATCGCTGGGACTACCACTGCCGCTGTCGTCCCGACTACCACGACTGGTGCTGCCACGGCTGCTACCACTGGAGGGACGCTGGCTGTCAGCCTCGATCTCCACACGGACCGCCTCAACTGTGGTCGTATCGGAAACATCTGTCTCGGCTCTCAGACTTGCTCCAGCGGTCTCTGTATCTCCGTCGGTGGAGCTGTCGTTGGCGGTACCAATATTGCTACGACGGCTACGGCTGCGACAACCATCACCACGAGCACCACTGCTCCGGCGGTTGCGGCCCCGACGACCACAGCTGTCACGACCATACGTGCTGCCACAACGACTACAGCCGCTGCTCCCACCACAACCGCTGCCGCGCCGACCACCACGGCCGGTGCTCAGACGAACGTCGCCATCGCTGTACCGACCACGCCGACGACGGCTCCCGCGGCGGTCCCTACGACCACGGCACGAGCGGCGACCACCGTCCCGACTACGCCCACGGCCCAGGTCGCTCCAACCACGCCAACGATCCAAGCCGTCCCCACGACGCCCACGGTCCAAGCAGCCCCGACAACGGTCCGCGCCGCCACGACAGCTGCCGCCGTGCCCACGACCGCTCCTCAGGCGGCTGCCACAACCCAGCGCGCCGCCACCACTACCGCTCCCTCGACCGGCTCCAGCGGATCCACCGGTTCAAGCGGCTCAGGCGCGTCGTGCGGTGGCTTCTTCAACCTCGTCCCTTGCATCTTCCCCCTGACGTGCGTCAACGGACGCTGCCAGCTGCTGGGAGTGATCGGGTAAGAGGCTCCCTTCTTGTTCTTTTTCTCCTTTTCTGTCAGCAGGGTGATGGTGGTTTCCTTTTGTCTATGAGTTACTTATATTTTAAACTTTGTGTGGACTTCCTCCCACTTTTTAATGCCTTTTATTTTCTTTTAATGTGGAGTAGCACTATGGCAGTCCACTGGTCAGCAGGCAACAGACTAGACGGACTAGATTAGTTAATTTAGCAGCACACTACGGTTCTGTAGCTGTGAAGCATGATAATGAACCTGTTGCTACAGTGAAGCTTCCAATACTATGTGCCGTTTTGATTTCAGATACCCACTAACGTCACTCATGTCAATGCGTCCATGGTTTGTAGCTATATAATCTTACCCTTGGCCACAGTCTGATTGCCCCGATAAATGTGACATCAGTTTCTCACCTGTTCTGGAAATTTAGCGTGGATAAAACCAAAGACAATAATAAAGTTGCAACACTAGAAGTCACTAATAATGGAAATCTATATGTAATATACCGCGAATGAGCTCAGCAGCTATAGGCTTTTTAAATTCCAGAATTACCAGCCATTCTTCCGACAGCCCAATGCAAACCCGATCCCATCAATAGATTCAGGACACCACCCTGCTGTCAGGTTTGCTCTGACAACACTGTAATGGCGGCTGGCACGGCCACTAATTGTGGATCAAGGATACCAAGAACACCTCCCCATACCGATGACCCATCCATAATATCTTTTCCCATAGACAAGTCGATCCTCCAATGCCATGAAACAATGAAAGCTTTCGCGGATAGTCATCCTCTTTCAAGCCTCCAATAGTTCGGGTCCAATTAAAGATTTTGTGAGTGCCAGCCCTTTCGCCGCTATCTCATGCAGCGGTTGTTGCAACCATTCACTCCAGAAATCTTTGTCCTCCTGCCGGATCTCATCAACGTCGACAGAACAGGTCTCGAGAAAGATTCTGAGGCTGTTCGACCAAAAGCTCTGCTTATCTTGCTCCATCGCGGTGGTGGGTCTGGCTTGGAGAGCTAGAGACAGCGGGCTATGCCCATCTTTGTCTTTCGAGTGGATGTCGGCGTTGCCACTCTGGACCAGAATTCGCACCACATGGTAGTCTCTACGGTTCATAGCCCAATGAAGTGGTGTTCGACTGTCAAAATCTTTCGAGTTTACGTCGGCACCATGTTCAATCAATTCTTCGACCGACTTTCCTGCAGAATGCTTCGACCAAGGATCCGTGTTGCATGCCGCCCTGACAGCCCAGAAAAGCGGCGTTCGGCCTCGTGAATCTTTTGCTTCGAGGTCAAGTTTGACTGTCTTCAAAACTACTTCAGTAGATCGGTGACCGACGTTGGCAGCGGCATGGTGCAGTAATGTCGCTCCGTTTTTGTCTACTGAAAACTTGTTGGTTCTGCTGTCCCTGAGAAGTGATCCCAAAACATTTGCGCAATCGTAGGTCGTGTTGGAAGCAGCCCAGGATAATGGCGTGCGTCCGCCGTTGTCTGGCTCCTCGATAAGCTCCGGAACAGTCTCGAGGCAGAGCTGTAGTGCTTGGGTGTCGCCACGTTCAGAAGCCCATGACAGACACGTGCGATTCTCTTTATCACGATGAAGTGCTCTTTCCTTGTTGTTGCCAGGAAATAGTTCAACCGCTGCGGAAAATCCGCTACCATATGCATGGAATACCGGGGGCCGGTCCATGCAGTCCGCGAGGCAATTGTTGAAGGGCATTTCTTGAGTAGGAGCTGGATGATGGTTTTGTCGGTGGTTCGACAATTCGTCGAAAAGGCACCTATCGATCGCGTGCAAGCATGCGATAGTAGTGTGCGGCCTTCGCGGTCTGTTTGACGCAAGTCTAATCGGTTGCTCCTGATTAAGAGCTTGAGGATACCCTCGTGGCCTTTATCGATAGCCAGAAACGCTGCCGTCAAGCCTCTCTTGTTCTTCAGGGAGAAGTTCATTGCTTCAGTCTCGATGAGATGCTTCATTACAGTCTCATGACCATATGAAGCAGCCCAGTGCGCTGCGGTCCATTGATGTTTTGAAACCGCATTGACTTTGGTCTCACCAGTCGCTAAGAGCATTCGAACCACATCTGCGCGCCCGAATTCAGCTGCCAGAGAGAGTGGCGTGCGACCTTTCGACTCTTGGTCTATAGTCGACAAGCTGAAATTGACGAGAAGGCGAGATAATAGTTCCGTAAGACCGGAGGCTGATGCCACGTGCACTGGTCCCACATCATGCTTCGGGGACTGAAGGCTGTGTCCTCTGGATTCCCGCCATGGTTTTAGTTTGACGAGTGCCTTGCAAAAGTTAGGATCTGGCCGTTGAAGAATGTCCATAATATTCTGAGCATAACCTGCTATCTCCTGGCCATATCGCATATGGTAGAAGATTGACTGAGCAGCGTATGGCATCATTGGGAACATGGCCACAACTCTTGCCTCGGCATCCATAGCCGTCGTATTTTCTGTTACCAAAAGAAGATCATCTATATCATCACGAAATAGTACTGCGGTGAGGTATTGAAGGCAGCATTCGGCCATGATACAATGCAAGGAAGCCTTCGCGCTCTCTAGCGACCGACTTGTCGCGCTGAGAAGTAATATACCATAATCAAGGACGAAGTCTTTGGCCGTCTGGTGAATGAATTGGGCGAAATGCCTCGTTTCATATCGGTCTCCATGATCAACCAGCTCGATGAGCCCGCAGCTAAGCGCATTGATCCGCTGACGAAGTCTGTGAAGAGGAACGAAGTTTTCTGACTCCTGACATTGTTGCATTGACCAGTCTGTGCGGACTTCTAAAGCCAATGCCCACTGTAGCTCGTAAATCGTCAGAGGCCTTTGGGAGAAACAAGTCCATTGCAGGAGCCTCAATGTGTTTGGGTAATTCTTTGCGGCCAGAATAACTTCGCGGTATATCTCGGACACCTCGGACGGTAGTCGCTCAATCTCAGCATAGATCTTTCGCAACGTTTCTCCTTGGCGAGTAAGCTCCAACACTTGTTCTGAAACGAGCCTTGCCCACATGAAGCTCCCATTGGCCCTCGTCGACACGAGATCTTCTAGGTGAGGGTCGGATGTTGCTGTCGACAGACGATGCTGAACGTATTTAATAATGTCGTTTCTGTTCTCTTTTTGTAGATGTATCTTAATATCACACTCTGGGATGACATTGGGGTAGTAACGACATGAGCAGCAAACGCTCAATCTTTGTCCGTGTCCTGAGAGCTTGGAGATCAGATCCGATATGTAGGTGATCAAATCAGCAGCTGCTGGCTCGCCAGCTTCGTCGAGGGCGTCAATGAAGATATTGACGGGATCTTTCGATAAGATTCTCGTGATCGCCAACTTGAAGAAGTCTTGGAGTTGATTTAAATCCCACTCCCATTTCTCGCCCTCTTCGCTCACATTCTGCGTTTGACGATGGTAATACGCCGGCAGTTCAGGAACCGCCTTGGGAGCTAGTTCAAGAACTTGGTGCAGAATGGATCGGAACAACCCGAGCAAGTTCTTCTGGAGATCGCTTCCTCGATTATGAAAATAGAACGAGATTGTGAGAGCATCGTCTTTGAAAACCTCTTCAACGAGGTCGCGAGCATGCTTCATGAGAGTTGACTTGCCCGATCCTGGGTGACCAGCAATCCACATCATGCCCCTGCGAAGAGAAGACCATTCTTTAAAAGCTTGGTGTTCTCGTAGCCATTCACATGTGTGTTCAGCTGCCCTCTTGATATCGTGTTGCCGGCTATTCATGCCCGAGAAGGCCAACGCTTTGAGACAATCCTGCGTTGAGTGCATCATAGTCTCTGCCGGTTTCCGCGACACTGTTCTGCGTCATTAGCTGAGCTGGTTCATTCTCTTGCCAGAGATATCACGTGCCAGAGCTGTTGATTGTCCAAGAACCCTTATTGGGAGGTTGCTTTGCAAGCTTGGAGAGACGCTTCAGTACAAATCGATAGCTTCCTCGGTCTTGAGATCGGAATTTGACAAGTCCTGAATGGTCTGCGGGGATCTCGACGTTGTCTTGGTCGGCTGTGCCGACTAGTCCGGTGCTCGTGGCGGACTCTCTCGTCACCAGCAAGCGTTTCGGACCGTCCTTGCGCAGAACTCCGTCTTCTCCACGCTGTATTGTCTTGTCAGGATAAGATCAATCTGAGATGAGACAATTTTTGTCAAACCTGAACGGTGGCGGAGAGCTGTGACTCGTAGAAGGATACTATTTTGTATTTATCCTTACAGTGGCGTGCGAAAAGCTCTGTTCTGGACTCAAGATATGATGACGGCTCACCATGTGGGCCCACAAGGAGCTCTCGTATGAGATCTTCGTTTGGCTGCCCCTCTACGATCGTTCTCAAGGAGTCGTTCTGTAAGCCATGGTGGGGTACTCCGAAAAACATGAGACCAATGCATGATTTAGCAAGATCAAGCTCATCCTCGAGCTGCTGCATGGTGGCCCGGATAAGTAGCTCCTTTATGAGAAGACCACCAAGGCTGTGGCCAATAAAAATGATAGGACGATGAGTGGTCTAAAGCTTTATCAGTGACCTTGCATTGCAATGGGCGGGCAGGAGTGAGATGACGACGTACACTGTCCCTGGTTCGGAAGTCCACTAGCTCTTCTAGCAGTGTGCATCCGAGCCCTGCGAAACACTGCTTAGAAGCGCTGTCCTGGAGCGTGGTATCGTAACCGTAAATAAGGACACGAATCTTGGGTAGATCTTGTGGGAGAAAGTCTCGGAGCCAGACTTGATCGCTGCCGGGGGTTTTCCATGATCCGAGAGCATGGCTGCCGAGGCCCGGTACCGCAATGACACTGCAGAGCTAAATGAGCGTTTCGAAGCCAAGGATTAAAGGCAGACTTTTATTACTCGACCTCGGCGCCCCCAGGGCAAGAATACAGTGGAGTGAGGCCGTCAAAATCATGAGAGTATTGGTACGGAAAATCGCTTCCAGCACAGCCAAGCCGCGATGCTAGGTCTTTGGATGGCAATGATGCCTCGAATGAGACCGTAGCGCATTCCGTAGTTGGGGAAAATGGGGCAATCGAGTGTACGCGTAGGCTCAACCCATTGACACCAGTCTTCAGGATATCATCTCGATCCAAGATCTGGTTCAAATGGTCGAGTAGCGTCTTCCGCTGTTCGTCTTTCGGTATCCTGTCTATGCGTATGGTAACCCTGGATTTTGGCGCACCCAAGACCTCCAGATGAACTTTTCGTCTCTTTGAATTCAACTCATAGTCCTCAGGCATCTTCGCAGCGAGATAGGCGGGGTGGTGCGCTGGACCAGATAGAAAGCTTATGAGAGGTAGTTATTCGGGGCTACCTTTGACGAGGCTGGAGACCCGCGGTCAGGATACATAATAACGTGGAACCGAATAATCAAAAACCAAGGGGACTGCAAGAAAGACAAGATTCGGGAAATGAGAAGATGGGCCGCAACCCAATAGCCGCCAGCCCCCAACAGGACCCGCCTCAAGGCAACCAACGCATCACGTGGCGAGGCAGGCCTCAGCCTGACCCTACATCATCAGGCTGGCACCTGTCTGATGTCCGTCGAGGAACTTGGCATTTCAACGTGAATCATGCTCAAGATTCAAAAGTGTCCATTCAAAGAGTCGCGCCAATTGGCGGTGAATGTGGAGGAGGGTAGTCAAGAAGGCAAGCAGGTCCCTGGGTATCCTCGAATCTCTTTAAGCGACCGTTCAGAAGTCTTAGACTTCCTGACACAGGAGCTATGCAATGACGACCTCGACCAAATGGCAGACAAGCTGTGGTGGATGTCGAGACAAAACAGCCAAAACATCTCCCCACTGCACCGGCAAGCGGTCAAGCGCCGGACGATCGTCGTCACGGAAGACCCGAAGCTCCACTTAGTCTGGATCCACGACCGAATCTTCGTCAAGCCGCTCCCGCGCTACCTCGGAGACTACGGCTTCTGGCGCGATCACATTTGCGCCAAAGACGGCACCGACAAGCAAAGCGTCCGGGTCCAGCGCGCGGCGCTGGGGGTTCATCCGGACGTACTATCATCTGATCCGCTACGAGACCGACTTTCGCATCGCCAAAGACCCGAGTCTCGCCCTGATACCAGAACATGTGACGTGGGAGCATTTCTGCGCTTTCACGGGGGGGTTGAATAGCATCGAGGACCGTGAAGTTTCGGAGCGGTACCAGTACGGTGAGATCCGCCTCACGCGCCTCAACTTTTACGCGCCGTTTCTGCTCGGCAGGTCGCACTTTCAGCGGGTGGACTACCAATACGGGCCGTACTTTGCGCGGTTCTATGTTCCCATTCTATTTGCCATGGGAGTCGTGTCGGTGGTCTTGAGCGGCATGCAGGTCATCTTCACAGCGAGCGAGGAGGGCGCCGCGGTGAGGAGCCGGCGATGGGCGGATGCCGCGGTCGGGTTCAGCGTGGCATCGATTGTCGTGGCGTGTGGGCTTCTCATTGCGCTTGGGGGTCTCATTGTGTACAAGATATTGATGGAGTGGAAGGTTGCGATTCGAGATCGCCGACGGCTGACGAAGCAGAGAAGCAAAGAGAAACAAGGCCAAGAGCATGAGAGGGGAAATCCCTAAGGCTATGTAACTACATATAGCAGGAATATGCTCGCAATTTGAGGTCGATGTTTTTCGATTTTGATCACAGCCATAAAAACTGCGGCTCGTGCTCTTGGCTTTTTCCTAGGCAACTTTCTCACTTCGGCTTGATCAGGTCGCGCAGCCTTGTCAGCCGACGAACAGTGTGTCGGAGGAAGAGGACCTCCAGTCTACGGCCTTTGAAAGCTGAAGATGCAGAACAGTGTGCGTGGGCACGAAGCCGAATGAGGGGAAACGGAGATAGCCACATGGGCTGGTTTCCTGAGTACCTACCTACCTAGGTAGTCAAGGTAGGTTCACCTACAACTATGGTAAGCATGCCATTTGAAGAAATGGTAGCTTAAGCAGCATGATCGAGAATGCATAGTATTTAAGAGTATCCGAAATAATAAAATAAGCAAAGAGCATGGGTAACGAATATGAATGTATTTGAAAACTATGGTTCCCATTTCAGGTATCTGCGGCACCTCTTCAAGATCTTCGCACGATGAATATTGATGGAATTCCCAGAACCAGGACTCCAAGCTCATCACGACCCCAAGACACGATGAGGACCGAAGATCACGTGATACGATAAGCAGAGCGATAAGCCGGGCCCCTGTGGAGACGGAGGCTGTTGGACCTGGACTCACCCGTCAGGCCGCCAATTGGAGACACCGAAAAAAGTTCAATCGCGAAACCCCCTTCACCACGCGATCCCGACGACGACAAGGGGAAGCAGAGCAGTAGCAGTCGCAGAAGCACCAGCCGAAGCCAGCCACCACATCACCCAGACACAATGGTCCGACCACGCGTGAGATTGCCGCGGGTCCGCCTCGCGCAGCAGCTGCAGCAGCGCTCTCTGCACAGCGTCCCCAAGCTCGACCACGACTTCAGTAATGGTGTCCCCGGCGTGCTGTCGGCCGACGGTTTCCAGATGGCGTGGACCGAGTACATGACGCACACGCTCGACAAGCTCAACGCGTTGACGGCTGGTATGTCTCTCTCCTTACGGATCTGCCGAACCACGGAAGAGGGATGGGTCCAGGAGATGCTGGGCCCTAGCCCATCACGCACACCATGACGGCAACGAACGACAAGGTAGATTGATCATAGCTGACAAGAACCCCAGGCACCGACCTCGAAACGCGCGACACGAAGCAGATCATCCACGCGACGGCCCGCGACCCCGACCAAGCGCCCATCTTCAACCACGCCTCCATGGCCCACAACACGCACTTCTTCTTCAAGACGCTGACGCCGACCCCGAAACCCATGCCGCCGCAGCTCGCCGCCGACCTCTCGACCGCCTTCTCCTCCCTCGAAACCCTGCGCCGCGAGATGACGCTGACGGCCGCCTCCATGTTCGGCCCGGGTTTCGTCTGGCTCGTCAAGGCCTCCTCGTCCGCCGCCTCCACGGGCCCCTCCGCCGCCGGCATTCTCTCCTCCGCCGGCGGGCCCGCCTCTTCCTCCTCCTCTTCTTCCGCCGCGGCGGGCGCCTCCCCCTCGGGCGCCGAGTACCGCATTCTGACGACCTACCTCGCCGGCACCCCCTACCCGGGCGCCCACTGGCGCCTGCAGGGCCGCGACATGAACACGGCCGGCGCCGCCGGTTCGGCGTCGGGCTTCCTTCGCAGCACCCAGCGCGCCAGCCAGCTCGGTGCTAAGCCCCCCGGCTCCCTCGACCTCGTGCCCCTGCTGTGCCTCAACACGTGGGAGCACACCCTGGCTGCGCGACTACGGCATCGGCGGGCAAGCGCGCCTTTGCCGAGGCCTGGTGGGATGCCGTCGACTGGTCTGTTGTTTGCCGAGGCGGCCAACATTCGCCCGCGTCCGGCGTTCCAGGTCTGAGGACGGGTCGGGCGAGAGAGGGAGAGGAATACGCAATGTATCAACTGTGAAATGGAGAAGGCGGACTTTGACACGGGTGTGTAAGATAGCATTACAATGTATAGAAAGGCAGAAAAATGGATGTACCATGCTGTATTTGGCTGGCTGGCGTGTGTGTGCTATCATTTTTGATGAGGTGGCCGCTGTTTGCAAGCTTTGAGAAGGGGATCGCATCTGCATGGTGATGTGTTGTCAAATATGCGGCAACTCTCAGTTGCGTCACGTTATGCCGACGTGCTGTCCGACGGGTCCATGATTCAGTCATCCAGGATGTGGAGAATCACGGGTAGAGGCAAGCCTTTCTAGGAAGCACTTGACTTTTGCTACCTTCGATATCAGAACCCCAACATCCCAGATCGCGAACAGGCACTGAAAGAAAGAGCACTACGGGCTTCACTATTGAATCAGATGAGATGCTATCTGGTCCCTACTGTCCAAGTTCATGAGCAATATCCAGACAGGACTGTCCAGGAATCAAGTCTCATCTTGCCGCCACTCAAGAACCCGCGTCAAGACTGGTGAGTCGAAGTAAGACTACAGCTCTGTACATCGTCACGAACGAGCCAAGCATCACACTTATACATGCGCAATACGCAAGCCATGCTTGATTGCAGACTAAACTACCCAGAATCGCCCTTCACCACCCTCATAAGGAGCGTCCAATCAAAAAGGTATCACGATGCCACGCCGGAAATGCCAACGAATAAAGATCCAAAAATCAAGGGGGGGTTCAGCTCTCGAGAGCACCCATCCCCAACAACATCTTTTCCAAAGGAGAGGCGAGAACATACCAAATGCAAGAAGCAAGAAGCAACAAAAGAAAACAGACGCGTCGTCAACAGGCTTACCAGGGGCCTCATGGTCATCGCAGACCCTTGCCAACAATTTCCGACCTCCTGTCATTGCCTTTCGTCCTTACACCTAAATCATGTTCCCATTAACGCTCACTTCAAAGCCCTGTCCCTTCTGCCTCAGCGCCTTGGCGAGCATGAGCTCTCTCATCCAGTCGATCCTCTCATCCCGGTTGCGCACCGCGAAGTGATGCGTCTTGCCGGTTCCGTTAACGCCCTCAGCAGGCACAGTGGCACCGCTGAAAGAGAACCCCGACTCCCTCTTCCTCAGCTTCGTCGTGACGCCGTTTCCATTCTTATCCTGTGGGATGAGCTGAAACGCAAAGGCACCAACGCTATCTAGATCGCGACTGCCAGAGTGGAGATGCACGCGCTTGAACGCGGCGCTCAACTTGCTCTGGCTCGCGAGCGACGAGCACGCAATAGCGTAGTCATCAATGTCAACATATTCGAGAGCCCGCTCGAGGTGCACGGCGTCCTTGTGCATGGCAAGGCGCGTTCCCTTGAGGGTGAAGTAGCCGTCGTTCCACTCGTGACGGAGCATGCGCGTCTTGCGCTTCTTCATGGGTCCCTGGTAGGAGATGCCACTGTCGAGGGTCGTGGCAGTCAGGGGCGTCTCAACGATCGAGGTCGCTGAGGCGGCGGCGGCCTCGCGGACGGGCACCGAGGGCGGGATGGCCTGCTCGAAAGTACGGCCTTCAGTGGCGGGAGACCAGGGGTAGGCAACGCGGGGAGGGGCCTTGACGGAGGCCCGTTGTGGTGAGCCGCGGACGGGGGAGGTACGGACGGGGGAGGTGCGCACCACCGGGGTGGCGGTGTTCTCGTCCAGAGCCGGGAGCACGGGGAATGAGGGACGGCGAGCGGAGGCGCGGGATTGGGTCATGGCTCGTGCAGGAGGTGGGTTGGAGGAGGAAATGGTATGGTAGTTCATGTCAGGGGGCACGGACTGAGAGACGTTACGCTCAACGTGATCGACGGGAACGGCTGTGACGGGGACATCCATCTCAGAGAAGGGGGTACCGAAGCGGTACGGGTTGGTGGGTGTCATCAGATCCGGAGAGAGAGGTTCGGCCTTGTCCATGCGATAAGGCACGAAGGCGTGCTCCTGCGACGACGACGACGACGACGAGTGTCGCTGCGCTGACTGAGGGACTGACGGTGGTGGCACGCTCGTGGCCCTTGAGGACTCGGGCCGCAGAGGTGACTTGCCTGGGATGGCGAGTTTGGGAAGTGCGCGTAGGCCCTCCTTTGGCGCCTTCATCGAGGCCAGAATCTCGAAGGGGGGCGTCGGCGGGACCTCGTTGGCGCTGCACTGTTGGAAGTCGAGGAACTGCCTGACGTTGTCCTGGGGGTCTCTCGCTTGCACACCACGCAACGCAGCCTCCTGCAGGTACTGCATGGGCGGCACACCACCGGTGCCGAGGATGTCTGACGACGCGACGACGGAGGGGACGGCATCCGACATGGGACGCATGATTTCAGAAGGGTCGAGGGCGCGGGCAGTCATGGGGTTACCAGGATCGCCAGCGACGAGCACAGCACCGCTCTCGAGGTCCACAAAGGGATGCTCTTTGCGGAAGGCATCAATCAGGCGCTGTGCTTTCGGTACTTGGAGCAGTTCTCGCCCTTTGAGCAGAAGTGCGGCCTGGGGATGTGCTGCTCGATGCCGACGATAGAGACAGACTCGAGGGGGGTGATGATGTCGTCGTGCGACAGCTTCTTGGGCTTCCGTCGACTGCTCTTTTTCCTCAACAGCCCTTCGCCTTCGTCTCTGCGCTTCTCCCCTCTTCACTCGCGGCTCGGCTCGTCTTGAATGGGTGTCGGCGCCCTCGGAGAACTCGGTCCGCTGTCGCGCAGGTTCTGGATCTGGTGCCAAACATTGTGGCGCATGCCAAAGGAGGGAATGTCGAGCTCCTTCAGGTCCTCGAACTTGAGGGTAATGAGAATGGCACCGTTGATGTCATTCTGAACGAATCGCTCGGCGACCGAGTACTCTATGCCAGCATTGAGCATCGACTGCGCGACCATTTCGGGGGTCCAGGGCAGGAGGTTCGAGGAGTCCAGTTCGGCCGTGGTGAAGCGCGCAGTGGGGCTGCTGCGACGTCGTGTTGGCAGGGACTGGACAGTCGGGAGAGGCTCATGCATCATAAAGTGCATGCTCTCACTGAAGGGAAGCGCCGTCTTTGGCGTGATGGGCGACAGTGTCAGGATGGCCTCCTCCTCAAAGGAATGCGTCGTTGAGCTGCGGAACAGATGCGGCCCCCTAGGACCCTCAACGGCCTGTGGCGATATCCCCTCGAGATAGCCCACGCGACTTTGACTTGACCTTGGCGTTGGCACCTCATCGTAAGAAGAGAGCGTAGTGATACTCGGCTGGCCACCAGACTTTGACCGTGTTAGTGGGCTTGCGTCGACACCCTGACTTCAACAAAAGATGGCACATACCGAATTAACGCTGTGGCGTGGTGAGTTGTCTTCCGCCTCACTGATGATTTCTTCGTCCCAATCCGTATCGACAAACTCTGTTGCGACGGAGATGGGACGGTCTTGCGGCTCGCTCTTGAGGCCGAAGAAGGTATCACGCAGATTAGCTTTTTGGCGCATCTCGGAGTGATGCAACCGGCGCTCGCCCATGGCGCGGTGTTGTTGCGTGTAATGCTACGTGGCCGTGTTAGTCTGTGGTGCTCACTGGTTTTGTGAACGAGCTCAGGCACAACTTACCAAGCTCATGATTTTGTTTTGTTTTGTGATTTTGTTTTTGGGGGGGAGGGTAGTTCGCCGAGTTGAGTAGTATCCGGCCGCCCAGTTTGCACGGGGTGGGAAGGGAACCTCTTGTCAGCAGGCCGTTGCCGGCACTTCTAGGTTGTATCAAAGAGGCAGTGACCGCAGCCCAGCAGCCGTCACTTGCAGGTCCTGGGGGTGGGTTTGTTTTTCTTTTCGCAACGAGGACACTAGGTACGATATGCAGGAAGGGTCATGAACGAGAGCACTGCACGCTTTGCTTATGCTCATGAGGAAAAGGAGAATCGTGCAAGAGTGGCAAAAGGAGGAAAATCGAGAAAAAGAGAGAGAGGGCTTGGATAGCCGCCGGGCGCCTACCGAGGGGTTATGTATGGATGGTGGTGGCATGTGGTTGCGCGACGATGGACGAGCGACAAGGAGGGACACACAGACAGACAGACACAGAGAGACACAGACACAGCGCGAAAGAAGTGAGCCAGCATCCCAGCAACCCATCATCCTAGCATATCCTGGCACCCTGGCACCTAGCACCGAGCACCTAGCACCGAGCACCTAGCACCTAGCATGGTACCGCGAGAGACGAGGAGCATCGGCATGGGACATCACAGTCGGGTGCTGCAGCAGCGCGCATGCATGGTGCGATGTGCGTGATTCGGCCGCGTTGCACTTGCGCACACGGCCGACGACCGGGCCAGCCCAAGCCAACAGAGTCTTGTCGACTGGGGTCTGGGGGCGTTGGCGGTCACAGGCAAGATGCCCACTGTATCGGAGAGTGAGGCCGGGTCGGTTAACAGGGAATCCAACAACTGACCGCTGCCAGGTATGCCGATGATGGGAGGAACAGGCCACACAAGCCCCTCCCCATGGACCTTGCTGCTTAGACTGGCAGGGTGGTATAAGAATAGACCCCTGGAGATGTCTTGTGAGCGGTCCGACGAGGGTGTGCGGGTGCGGGTGTGTGTGAGAGCTCGAGCCTGTGTGGTCGCCGAGGTAGGCGAGGACGAAAACTAGCAGAAGAGGTAGGCAAGCCACAGGCGGCGGCATCCTCCATCATCGCGCAGCAAGACCTCGCCAGGACAGGCCAGGCCAAGCCGAGCGTGGGGAGGGCGGGCAGGATGTCTGTGGCCTTGGGGTGGATCGAGTCAGTGGCCGTGGTTGGGTTGAAGGAGCCAGGGCGCATCCATCTGGTGGTGATGGTCATGGTGTTTGTCTTGGGCAGAGGCGGAGGCAGAGAGAGAGGCAGGAAGAGAGGAGAGCTCGAGAGCTTGGGCCACCGTCGGTAGTGCGACTGCCGCGGGGTTTGATTGGTGGTCGGTTTGGTTACAAGATGCAGCTGCAACCTCCATCCATGCAGGACCGAAGCTCGCTCGATGCTCCATCGGGGTCGGACGGGGTATATCACACCGCTCATTGGTCATAATTCCTGCAGTGCGACTCTATTTGGAGGGCGCTAACTCTCTCATTGGTTCGAGACTGCCTTAAGCGCCCAGTTCTTTCTCTTCTGTCTCTTTTGCGCGCGCTCTTCCCTCTCACTGTGTCTTTTTCTGTCGCCAGCGCTCTTGCCAGCTTTCTTGATCCTGCCGACCTGATCTGCCTCAACTTGCCCTTGTCTTGCCCATCGCACTTTCTAGCCCAAGACTGCTAAAAAAGGTACATCAGCAGAAGATGGCGCGCCAGCACCAGCCCCCCCCCCCCTTGGCGGCCTCGACCAGGGATGTGTGCCCTTCTCCAGCCCAGCATATTCTCCAGCATGCATCTGCCACTGCCATTGCCTCTGCCATCTTCCCTCCCTCCCTCCCGCTCTCTGCAGCAGCAAGGCGTGGATGCTAGAACCCGTAGCCGCGCTTCTCAACCCACCTGCCTACATATAGGTACATGAACTGTGCAGAGAGCGCATAGAACAATTGATGCAGGTTAGCCCAGAGGAAAAGAAAACACGCCACAATGTCAACGTTGAGAATGTTTCCTGCCGTCCCACCTTTTCTCCTCCCCCATTCTTCATGTCATGTCGTTGAGCCAGCGACCTGAGACCTTGAGTCTAACGCAGATAGCCTCTGCACCCACGCGACTGGCATATGGCTGCACGGCTTTCGCTACACACCGGCGCCCAACGCTTGAACAAAACCGGCCAGCCAAGGTGCGTGGCATGGCGCCCAGCGTCGAGCGGGCGATACCCGGGGCCCCTGCCGAGATGGGAACCATCGAACAAGCAGCCCACCAGTCTGTTTGCATACAAAGGAGAGAACGATGGCAATGCCGACCGTGCTAGTTCGACTGTGAATCAAAACAGCGCTAGATTTACGGATAAATACAATAGAACCAGAATAGACCAAATAAATGCCTCTCTCTCTCTCTTTCTGTGTGTGTGTGTGTGTCACTTGTCTCTGTCTTTTTGAGATGAAGTCGACTGGAGTCATGTCATGCCGAGCCCGATCTGCAAACAAGCGATATCTCCCTCTCTTTCTGTCACTCGGCCATCCAGGCGACGGAAACACGGGAAGCCAAAGATGGGAAACAATAATGCGATATCCACTCCTGGAACACCCCTCCTCCCTGGTCGGCCAACGAGGAACTGTCGTCGTTTTGATCACACACCCCTTGTCTTTTTGGCGTGCACGGAAAGAGGAGCCAGCCCAGTCTACGGCGACCCACTCCTCCATCGTCAACTGAAGTTCTGCCCCTCCTCCCGCCTCTTCCCCTCTCGACCTACCTTACCTACCTACCTACCCACCTAGATACCTTACCCTACTTTTAGTACAGCACTGTGCAGTGTCTTCCATATGCCATTCTTTTCTTCACCCACACCCCTCACCAGCCACTCGCCTTGCCTCGCCTCGCCGCCAGTGCCCGATGCCAGCCCCCCCTCCTCTCCTCGGAGAAAACGACCAAGCGCAAGGCGAGGCCCTCATCAACGCCAGGGGACCCCAGAGACCAATGACAGCGTGATGATGCTCTTTTGCTCGAGTATCCAACTTCCACCGACCAAGACCTCCGACTCAGGGACGGTCCGAAGCTCAGCAAGCACACATCCCCGGAGAATAACCCACTCGACAATGGAGCAACAATGGGAAGGGGGGGACTCAAAGTTCCGCCGTCGTGTCCCGTTCCCGCCATCTTATCTCGGGTGCTAAAGGAGGGGTGGTCAACGTTCGTGCTACTCTGCACCCGGTCGGCCCGTAGCTTCAGGGCCTGTTCTTAGCTTCAGTGTTCAAGCGTGTGAGGAATGAAGAGGGGTCCCCCCCCTCCCATCTCTTCTCTCCTCACTCGTTCACAGTTTTGGACCTGGCTCCACGCAAGCTTGGAACCCTCGAGGGGCTAGCCCCTCGCCTTACGTTCAGCTGCGATATCACATCATCGCCGGCCATCAGACGCGAGAGGTTGATGGGGGCAGCGGCAGGGGAAATACCGAGAGACATCGTCTCTCTCAGTCTCTTTCTCTCTACATCATGGGTCACGGGGCAGGGGGGGGGCGGGGTGGAAGGCCAAGCGGGCCCCCTTTCCAAGCTTATGTTTCGCTGCCCAATGCCAAACTCCCGACAGACCACGCCGACCGCAATCCGACCGAGGAAGGCGACTTCCGCCAACGTGACTCTTCGTCTCTGCTGTAAGGAGCCGGGTGGAGCAGTGTCGGTAGGCGGTCGAGCGGTCGGGCGGGCGGGCACATGACCTCGTGCAACGGGCGCGCGCGTGCGCGCGTCTTCACCGTACCGTATGGCCTGTTCTCTCACCTCGTCTCTCGGTCCTCTATGGTGCCTTTTGCTCGTCATGTGGTGCTGTCGGCGGCGCGCGCTGCGCGGACGAAGCAGAAGCAAGTTTCGGTGCCTCTGACCTGAACCACAGCGCCCCCTGCCCAGCCACCTCGGTCAGGGACACGGCCGCACGACAGCCATACACGGCGTGCTGATGACGAGGTGGAGGTTTTGGAGGCGTTACAAGAGCAAGGGAAAGATTATGGAAGACTGCAGGCCGACTTCGCTGGGTCAAAACCGCCCCAAGGTGCTGCAGCGGGTCCACGCAGACGAAGCAGAGACATGCCCGAGACACAGAGATCCCTCGACGCCCACCTCATGGTTGCTCCGCCTGTTGTGTAACTGTCTCTCCATCGCTCGGTCTCTGTCGTGCGCGACCGTGCCCGTATGGCGTACAGTGCTTGCGCCACACCTGGCCACTTGCCCAGGATAGAGAGAGACAAGACGTGAATATGCCCATAGATAAGATAGACTAAGGGCGTCCACTGGCAAGGTGTGCCGGATGAGGAATCCCTGTCAGATGTCTCTCTGCTGATAACTATCTTACCCCGCATCTTTTCTTTAGGGGGGGGGGCACGCGAATATCCGTCTCGGTCGTCGTGCATGAGTAAGGTGCGTGAGACGACGTCGTACCTTGCTGTGCGCGCTGCGTTAGCTTCTGCTGCCCCTCCTACTGCTGCCGTTGCAAAGAGGGTGGGTGGGTGGTTGCGTGGGTGGGATGCACGGAAGACCAGACGGGTCCAGCCACGGAAGCTTTCGAGGTGGGTTGTGTCGTTTTTGGATGGTCTCGAGTGTGATGCGGCCGCTTGACAGTGATTGTGGCTTGCTCGAGACACATTGTTTTCTTGCTCCTCCGAGCCGCAAAGTCAACCTGAGACCAGGAGGTTGCGTTGCATGGTGGGTGTTGTTTACCGTGGTTCTGGGTTCTGGGTTCTGGGTTCTGGGAATGGTGACCGGTCTTGGGCATTGTGTGCATCGGCGCCCCGTGGACCATTGGTCAAGATCGTGTCAACCTCGCAATGTTTATCATGAGGCCTGAAAGAACTTTTTGCGCTCTGCATAGTAAGGTGATCCTCAGGAGTGAGGTGATTGCTTTTTGGGTTGTCGTTGTGAGTATTCAGTAAAGAATGACATGCCGAGCGCAGGCAGTCAGCACAAGGCATAGTCATGGCCGACTATCACGAGACATTCACGTTTCTCTCAGGAACATCACAGAGCTGTTTAGTGTGAATGTTCACACACTCTCGACGGAAGCTCTATTTCACGATAGTCTCAAGCGTCCAGTCGACTGATTAATCATGACGATGCCAATACTTGTAATAGAATCCACCAACATGCTGTATAATTGCTCGTGCTGACGGGCCATGGGTGTTGGCTTTTTGAGACTCCATGGACTGAAAGAGAAGAATATATGAAGTTCGAGTATGGTGAAAGGCATTTATTGATCCTCGTCCTGTCTTAAATCCTATGCTCGTCATGACGGCTGTTGATATTGCTCAAGGCGTCTACAAATTAGATGATGTCTAGTAAAGATACACATCGATCATTGCAGATTTTGAGTGCGTGTCCTCGTGTAATAGTAGGTGATACGATCGTAGGACTAAATATATTGCCCCGAAGCACTCAATATTACCCTGAGGCCTTGACTATCTGAACTTTCGAACGCGAAGGTATGAGTAAACCGACTACTTGTTTGAAATTACTGGGCCATGAGGTAGTAGATCGCTGTGAACAGCTTAATAAAAGCTCCGGTTCCAGCAAAGACACTTCGTCAAGTACTAAGGGACCGATTCCAACATGTAGCCGGGGTAGCTGTTCGATCCCTCCAACTGACTCATACCACCAACGCGTACAAACAAAACCTGCGATATCGCGTCACATGTGGCTAAAGACATAGGTTCCGATGCTCGTAGTACTTCTGATTCTACTACTCAGAAGACTTTGGCTCTTCCTGGTGTGCTTCATCAAAAGATGTAGCTTCGAATGCAACATTGAGTGATGTACGTGCCTGGCACACCTACGTGCAAAGGCTCCGATGGATGCTACCATATAACATTGAAACCATTCAATGTCATCCTCCCAGCTCTAACCTCGATGGCATTGAAAATCATATTCACTTAAAGAGAATTCGGTAGTGCGTGCTACATTAGTATTGCCTCCAAGTCACCCTCCTTTCCTACCCAACTTTGGCGATGTAATCTATTATCCACACTTCGACAGCTGCCTCACATCCGGGTCCCACAGAGAAACGCCACGGTCAAAACGGGAGCTGTTCAAGCTAGGAGCACTTAACAAACACAAACTACACTCAATATGCTCGTTGCTGAGCATCAATTACAGTATCATCTCGACGGCCTTCAATGCATCAACTATCAAGACACGTGATCCTTTCCGTCATTATCAACTCCCAGCCAACCGCCAAGTCGCGCCGACCTCGGGGTAATTCAACCTCCGTCCTCATCGGGCAATATAGCCCGCCGAAAGATGCTTTTCCGCGCCGCCATGCCGTTTTCCATCCCCCCCCCCCCCGCCACATCACGAGGCCGAGGCAATGCTTTTCCTCGAAGAATCCCAGCCCAGGCATGGACCCTGCTCAGCGGTCGTAAAGAATCGGTGAAGAAGCCCACGCACCGGACTTTCTCCACTCGTCCACACCTTGCAAGCCGCGCCGACGACCAAGGCGAGAAGCCTCCGCTGATGACTCAACAATCGCATGAGGCTATCCTTCAGAACCCCCGCCGTACCAGCTCCATTCCTGCTTGCCTTGGCCGTGCGACGAGCTGCAGTGGCCTGCATGACAAGGCACGTTCCCGCTAATGCGTGTTGTGAATCCCCCCTCTATTTCACCCCCATTCAGACACCCTCCCCCCTTGCCATGCCTTCTTAGCTGCCTCTTGCCCCCATCCCGCCTTTCCTCTTCTTGAAGCGATGCACAGTTCTGCAGAAATGGACATGGCGGGGTTAGACAAGAATCACGGTCGCCTTTTCCCGTGTAGTGCGGGAGAGGTGGCTGGGAGAATGGAGGCTAAGCGCCGAGTCCTTCTCGATCGAAAAAGTGAGCGAAAGGAAGGGAAAAAAAACTAGGGCAGCTGTGCCGCATCAGCTGAGGAGCCAATTCTTGCTTCTTCACCGACTTCTCTGCCGGGCGGGTTCAGTGCCCAGTTGTTCCTCGATGACCTCATGGAGGCACGGCATCCCGTCTGCCGACAAAGAGCGGGTTCTCTGGTGCGACCAGATGTCTTAGGCACTTGCTCCCTGAGGTGCCACAACACTGGGGTTATGTCCCTTTGTCTCAGTAGGAGCTCGTGGCAGCAGCGCTGGAATTTAACAATGCCATAGCGGGCCTCAGCTTGTGAGGAAAGACAGAGCCTCGCTTTCGCCATGGGGGACTGGTCAGGGTGAACAGCACATGACACGTATTGGAGAAAGAAGGCAGGGGTGGGAGAAATGGGAAGCTCGTTCATAGATCAATCAGCTTCAATTGACGGGGTCTGAGACTTTGCTTTTCGTCCCCGCCGATCGTACCCGAAAGGCGACGTCCGAGGCTCAGCATTGCATCGCGAGTCGCGACATTTCCCCTCTCGTGACCTCGTCGGTTCAATGCTGTCAATCCTGGCGAAATCCGTGGTGAACATCTCGTCAGAGGGGACGACGGTGGAGGAGGGACCGGGGCCAGAGACAAGTGGGAAGAAAGGTGACCGGTCATTGTGGCTGGAGCACAGTCTCCTGTACACAGTGAACACACACAGCACACCCACACCCCCTACGTTTCTCAGCTCTTCGATAGCCTGCTCGCCTACCAGATCGGACTACGATAATTGTTTCCCCGACCTACTCCGTGAACGTGAGCTAAGCTTGTCTTCAAAGGAGGGGGTGTCGGGCTAGAGACGGAGATGGAGTCTGGCAGCTCACTCAAGCCCTTTTGCCAGCTTCTTTTCAACGGATAGCGCCGTCATCACAAGGAAGATGGTTGTTCACACGGAAAGTTCCCCGCGTCGTTGCGTTCACAGAGACAAGGCCACGGCCTGGATGGACCTCGTGCTGGCGTGCACGAGGGCGAGAAATCGACAGGTCGTCCCATCTAATTTGCGCGCACTCGTCTCACATGATGGCAGGCTAATGCGTAATTCGCGTCGTCCTGGCGTGGTGGATGGTTGACTCTTGTCAGGTAAGCAAATGGTGCGTCGCAAGTTGGGGAGCCTATTCGAACGTTTTGGGGACCCTAATGCGACCGTTTTCGAGACCCTGAAGATTGCCACTCTTTCTCTATATTTTTCTTTGTTCTCGAGATGCACGCATGGTGGAGCCCAGTGCATCAGTACAGCAGGCGTGCGGAGAAAAATGATGGTCTGAGCGAGACTACGAGCTGCAGGTAATCTAGCAGGCCGATCATGGGGTTCGAACATGCATCATCCCTCGACGGGTGGCCCGTGAGGACTACCATGTACCATGTACGGCACAGTTCGCTCAACCGCCTTGGCATCTGGATCGTGGGCGTTATCACGGTCTGTTAAGAACTCAAGGCGGCGGGTTTATGCCGCTGCTGAAGAGTGTGGGGGCCAAGTTCGGTACCATTGCAGAAGTTCTGTCAGTGATGGTGGTTATAGCGCTTGAAGTGCCATGGTGCCTCATGCGAGACTCTCAGACGATCTGAATCGCGAGGCACGGCGCATTGCATCGCCATCTGTGGCTGTCACTCGTTGGCAAGGCGACAGAAGTTCTGGGCGGGGGCTGGTGAAGGAGGCGAAGTTAGGTACCTTACCTAGGTAACTAGGCCTGCCTGAGGGAGTAGAAGAGGGGAGGATGATCCTCCCGTGACTGAAGGCGAACGCAGCAGATTTCCGGACAATCTGGCTCGACCGGTCCAACTCCACAGCCGATGCCCGAAAACGATGTGGATTGCCATGAGGTGGTGTGCAGTCTTAGTGTTGCGGTGTTTTCGACCAAGGTGCGGCTCGATGACCGTAACCACAGAACCCACCGGGGATTCCCTGGCTTTCCTTTCGCGTTGCCTGCCAGATGCCAGACTGTGCCCTCGTCGGCCAGCTTCAGCGGCGCGAGAGGAGGCGGAACAGACGACTGCGATTGCGGTTGCGATTGCGATCAGCTCAGAGCGGGCCACGCCGGGACGAAGCGGTGATGTGCCGTCAATAGTTCGAGAGTTTCTCGATGAGATGCGTCGCGCAGAAGGGGGGCCAGCGACGGACGGGGGTACGGGGCTTCGGGGGACTGCGCCGGGATCACCGTCCGCGCACGATCAGTGCCACCCGGAAGATCCGCCTCTGCGACTGACAGGTCGACAGGGGGGGAGGTGCTGCATATCTGCTTCTGTCACGGCGCGTTGTCAGGGTTGAGCGAGCGGGAGCCAGGGTTGCGCAGAGACATCACAATCACATCACATCACAATGCGCTATTGCCCAGTATGGAGATTACAGCGACAGGGTCTGCCATCGCTGAGTAAGGACGAGTGCCATACGCGCAGTCAGTCAACAGAGGGCTCACTTGCTGCCCCTGAATTGGGCTGGACTGGGCTGGCCTGGGCTCAAGGCGAACATGTTGCTGTGAGGGTTGCGATCGTCCAGCGTGCCGACGGATTCGGTTGACGGGAAATTGCCCCCTGCGATGAGGCTTTGCGTACACGTAGCAACGGCAACGCCATGGAACCAAGCCCGGAGCTGAAGATCAGTGAGCAGGTCCGTTGGGCCTCATAGACTGGGTCAATGCCACCCACAGGCTTCCTTTCTGAAGGCGAGTCGAGAAATTTGGGTTGCCGGCAATTAAGCCGGACTGCCTAGCTGCTGTCGTATCCAAGGTGGGAAATGATTCATGCCAACAACGACCGCGCAAACCTAAGGCAGACGATCCAGGCCGATCGAGTCCACGACTACGTGCTCAGGGGCACATCGAGGCCAAGGTGCCAGCGTTGATGTGGCTTGTGCTGAGCAACCGTTGCCTGCCGTTGACTGGTGTGCCGTGTCTCGATAGTGTTGTGTGCATTGATGTGGTTGCTTGGGACGATGTCCAAAGGAACGTGATGATGGGAGTTTGAAGAGATGAGATGACATGGTACATGTATGCCTGATGGCGTGCAGAGAAACAGAATCTGGTGGTGGATGTCGGAAACGAAAACGCAGGCGTCTCGAAGAGGGACCTCAACAACCCTGTCGAGCGTGAGAGGGAGATGGTGAGCGCCATCCGGTTGGCCCCCAAATGAAACGGTGGCCAGCCCGTCAGCTTGATGGCAATTAATCAACAAGACCTGATGGTGTGGTCGGCCGAATAGTTGTCGGATGCAGTAAGGAAGAAGAAGCCGTGGGGGGGAGCGAGGCAACATCAGTTTGGGTTGCACCAAGAGAGCATGACTGCCTGGTACGTCGGCGGGGGGGGGTAAAGTGGGCAGGCGAGGAAAGGCAATAGCAAGAATTAGCCCTTCATTGTTACGTCAGCATCGACAATGGCCGCATGGCATCACGACGGAAAACGCAGTATCAGAAGATGGGGGTTAATGGCTGCAGATACTAGGGTAAATTAAAAATAGGTCCTCAATCATATCGCTTGGTGAGTTAGCCGCCGAAGTGCATCATGGCCTTCACTTACGCGCGGTGAGATGTGGTGAGGTGCGGTGAGAGGGTGGGTGTCTGTGAGCGGGTCTGTGTGTGAGCGACTACGGCGTTTGTCCGGCACCGAAGCCCAAAATTAGCCCAGTTGGAAAGACAGTCAGGCGGGCAAATATGTAGGTTCCAATAGTGCGAGGGCTAATTGTGTGATGACCGGCAGCCCAAAGTTGGGCGGCTATTATGCCACGAGAAGCCGGTTAGCCCCCGTGCAGCGTGCTGCTACTGGAGGCGGACGAGAAGCGCAAGAGCCACACTCTAAGTCGACGTCTCGGAATTCCGGGCTTGCCTTGTTCTAGAGACAGGATGAATTGACACAATGCGTTGTCAAGACATTTCTCTTTTTCCAGGACCTGCGCAGGTTGTCATCGATGAAACCAGACAGCAGATTGTAGCAGGCAATCGAGGTACGACCAGTCGAGCAAAGCACAAGTGTGGCTGGCAACGAGTGCGAGCTGTGGCACCATGAAGTTCTCCCCCCCCCTTACCCCCTGGACCCTTTGCCGTTGCTGTTCAGCTTCCTCTCAGGTCAAGTCTTTCGCCTCATTGGTGCAAGCTTGGGTGCGAGGCCGAGCTTGTCAAGCTGACCCTTGTAAATATTGATGCGCGATCTCACGGCACGAGCCAATCGAGATCGGAAGCAGCCCTTCCTACTTGAGCTTGAATCCCTGTCAGCATCGCCTTAGCATGGGGGTAGGCAGCCAAGTTGCAGGCATGCGAAGACATGCGCAAGCATCACAGGCGCTAGAATCGGTTGGTCCCGCGGCCCCTACCGCTTCTGCACGAGCCGACAAGTCGTCACATGGCCCGGCCCAATCATTATCCGCACAACCCCCGCTCCTCGCCAAATCTTCGCCAAAGCCCCCATGTCGCTCGCTTCTGGCTTCCTTTGGCCCCTCCATCTCCATCTCGACTGGGCGGTTTGAACAAAGAACCTCGACTCGACCGGCTGTCGGGCCAGCAACGCCAGCGACACCAGCCAGAAGCCAAGGGCAGCCATTGCCGACCACCAGAAGCACAGCTTACAGACCCTTTACACCCCACCCCTGTCTCTCCTGCGCTCGCGACATGGCCAGGTCTTGGACGGTACTTGATTGCGTGCCCCAACCGGCCGCAGAGTTCGACGTACCGCGATACACATGACGACGTACCGTCACCTCTCACTCGTTGTCAATCGTTATCAAGTTGTTGCCAGGGCTATCATTTCCCCTCTTTGTCCTTCCGAGTCGTACGCCCATGCCTGCTGACTCGCCCAGCCACACCACGAGCGACCTCTGACTGGCTGGCTTGCCTTGGCTTTTTCACCAAT